GAGAGTCCACGTATGGTCCAGATAGTTCGAGAGATATTTCGCGTCCATAGCCGTACGCCATCTAGCTGCTTCGTCACTAGCGACAGCTTATGCATACGTGTTCTGTGTGTCTGAAACACCGTCGATACTTGCAGCAAATGCCAAAAAGCCTCCGCACGCAAACCTTCTTCGTCAGTCCTTCAACGCTTCAGCGAAGGAGTTACATCACTCCATCCAGACAGCCGTTATTCATCAGCGTTCACACCGTCCTTAAGCGGAAACACTGGCTCTCTCGAACGTCTCAAGCGGGCCGCCTCGGGGTGGAATACCACGCGATACGTATTGTACGTTGGGTGTGGGGGGTATAATGCAGCCAGTTCCAGCCCTGTGCTAGCATTTCAGATGGAGGCAGTTGGGGTTAAAGCGACTCTTCCTTAGGTTCCACGACGTCCATCTCCACATCCGGAACATTTTACTCGGCAAGTTTAATGGATTCATCCATAATCGGCTGACGTTCCGCACGTATGGGAACGGTCCTGTCATCATGCTCTGGAGTTATCTCAGTGACCGTTCCAAGATGCGATGACTGCGTGTCATATATACCGCCCACCTCACGCTCGTCCAGCTTGACCGACCGTGACGTCTTTCCATGGCATCGTCCAAGTCAAATAAACGGTTCCCCATTACTTTTTCGGCATACCCGAGAAACTCACAGCAAAAACTCTTCGACTCGAGCTTCACTCTCTTCGCGTAGTCAATTTGAGCGTAACCTGCAATCCGAACACGCGCAAGTGTTCCATGTGGGGCTTCACCTATAAAAAGTAAGTCGTACGGTGTCGAGTCCGCGTGTGTTGTGTTGCTGGAATGGCTGATAAGGTACGCCGCTGTACTTACAGCTTCAGCCCACCATTCTATCGGCACACCCTTGTTGTGTAGCATGCTTCGTGATTTCTCCATGATGGTCGATTCATACTTTCCGCCACTCCGTTCCGTTGAGAGCTATACGGAACGGCTCGTTGTTGCATGATACCGTTCCGGCGGCACATTTCATCTACCGTCTTGTTCACGAACTCCGTTTCATTGTCTGATCGCAGACACTTCAAGTGTTACCCCCATTGGTTTTGGTAGAACGCTTGGAACTCCTTCAGTTTGCCGGCCACTTCACTCTTCTTCTTCAAGAAGTAAGCTACTACATACCGTGAGTGGTCGTCCAAGAGTATCAGCACGTACTCTGCGCCACCCCTTGAGAGCGTTCTCATCGGACCCATCACATCTGTGTGTACAGGTTCTAACACCTGCGATGCCTTCGTGACAGATCGTGACGGAAACGGCGCAGCTATCTTCTTTTCTATCATACAGCCGCCACACAGCTTCTCGATACCTTGTTTCACCGCAGGTATGCCGTTCGTTAAACGCTGGGTCTTGATCAGTGCATCCTTGCTTGGTGCCCCTTGCAAGCGTGTCACAGCTCCCATCTATGTCGGCTCCTGAGTAATCCGCAAACCGTTCTTCCTCTTGCTGAAAGTCGAGCAGGAACGCCTTGCCCACCTTGTTCCCCATAGCAATGGCGCTGCTTGCACCCCGGATGATGCACGAGGAACTTTTGAAATCAACACTCAATCAACGTTCAGCTAGTCTCCCAACCGACAGGAGGCGTCTTTCGGTTCCTAGGATGTACAAGACGTCCGTCATCTTGATGCGTCTGTCGTCGAGACCGGTAAACTTAACCTTTTCTCTGTCATGAACGCGTAACTTCTTGCCATCCAAAATAGTCACTTTGACGCCAGCGTTCGAGGTCTAGTGGTCGAATAGTTCAGAACGGTGCGGGGCATGTGCGATGCAGCTCCACTGTCGATCAAACAGCCTTTCCGGCGTTCCTCGCCGACAGCAAACACAGCATCGTTCCCGCTGCCACCTCTCTGACTCGGACAGTCCCACTCCAAATGACCGACATGGTCACATCCGAAGAACTTACCCTTGAAACCACCACCCTTCTTGTGTGGTGCGTTTCCCTTTTGACTGTGTCCTCGGTCGCCTTTGAACATTTCACCGTTCCCGGCACGGAAAGATTTCTCCATGCTAGTGTCCTTCTTCTCCTTCACCTCAATCAGTGACACGTCCTTAGCGTTCTCCACACTAGATGCAATTATCTCGTACTCCGAAGGAAGACTGCTTAACAGCACAACAAGATGTCGTGCCTCGTTGACGGGTTCCCCCAGTGTCTTTAACACGACGACAACCTCGTCGAATGCGTCCAGATGCTTGGCCATTGCCGTTCCGATCTCCATCTTGAAGTCATGCAGACGTCGTGTCATGGTAACACGTTTCTGGAGCGTGGTACGATTGTAGAAGTCCCGAAGCGTCCCCCAGGCGTGCATGGCACGTGAAGCAGATCGAATCTTTGTCTGATGCTGTAGTTTTACACCTTCAGCGATGATTTCGAGAACATTCGCGTCACTAATGAGTCACGCCTCTGTGATCTCGTTTTCGACCTTTACAACCTCAACATGCGCGAAAAAAACCATTTTGGGCCAAGGTCATGCGCATGTTGTATTCCCAGTGATAGAAGTTCCCTCTTCCCAGAAGTCATTCGGCGCGTTTGAAGGTCATGTCTAGAACGTCACGGTCGGTAGCGTTGCGGCTGTTAAAGTGTTAGACTGAGGTTGTTGTTGGAGGCAAATGCCAAGGTGAGTAAATATAAGATTTCTAGAACTACTCTTTGTTATCCTCCTTTCCTTTGATGTCCTTCTAGAATCGTCAGCTTACCAACCATAATATTTCATCTAATCAGAAGATCGTATCTGAGGTTCAGGGCAGATTTTCACTCGGTCACGAATCGTGCAAGAGCGGGGCACATATCAATCATTGTGCCAATTTGCTTCTAATCAGCTCTCTAGCATCCATTCGGACAACTTCCTCCTACGGGATCTTCCGCTTAAGTTCTTATGAAAACATTTGCACCCTTTCGTTAAGCATTTCCATGACATTTATCTCCTTGCCGACATGAAACGTGCTTTTAATCGATTCAGGTGCCTATTTTTATCAATGGACAGTCTGGTCCACAACATGGCAACATGACTATCTTGCACTACAATTAGAAGCTCATATATACTTCGTATGTAGCTCACTTTTAGTTTAAGGGCTCGCAGGGCCCATCCATATCCTCGTGAAGACATACATCTGAGTCCATGTAACGTAATTTGATATATTTGAGTAGGGATTTTGACACATAGGTGTCTTCCAGATTGAAGATGTGTTAGGTTTATGACAATGCTGGGCGACAGATTGATATACGTCTTCACGTATCACCACACAATATCTTCGTCGTATCTCTGGAAACGTAGTTGAAGAATGTGAGGTATGTTGAGGATTGATAGCGACCGGCAGTACCCCGATCCCCTAACGAAGGTGGGATCGACGATTCCGCATGGAATCTGCGTGTCAATCCTCATTACTCAGGAAGTCTCACTCCGGGTGTCGCATCCCTTTACGACATCATAATCCATCGACTCCGCACATCGGTCATGTATCATGATTTTGTATGCTTGGGTCCGTTCTAATCGTCTGGACTGCGCCAGGTCGGTGCACGGTCCTAGATCGAGGCAGTTGCACTCGGGTACCACCTGTCATCATCGGACTTACCTTAGAATCTTAGATTTCCGGATATCATTACCCATCTAAAGCTGATTCGTATCCAATATTGAAGGGACGTCATTGGTCGTCTCAATCTTCCATCGAGCCTATACTGCAAAAGCAACTCGTACATGTTGCCAATGTATAGGTGAAGAGGATGAGAAAAGAAGAGACGACGACATCAGGAAGATGCCGATCGTGTCAATCGGCCAAAGTCAAATGGATGTAGTTGCGTCTGCTCCGTGGGCACCTACATAGCCGCGTCGCAGATTGGTGCGTCGAGTGCGTGAGCTCTGCGCATAGCGCTTGTTGACGACGGTGTTGTTTACTATTTACCGAGTCTGCTTCCACGGACCTATTCGCAGACATTAGCCCTTCTCATGTCTTGACTGCTGTTGTGGAATATCGGTGCTTATTCTCCTACTGCTGCTGCTACAGCTGGTGGGGCAGCGCTGGTGGGGCAGACGTTGTCGTGCCAGAGGTGCGAGACTTTGGCTGCACCAAACGCCAAATATTCGCTTACATAGAAATCAGTTACGTACGTGCGCGCGTGGCTTACACACAATTACTGTGGTAACTGCAAAGAAATTGACTTTTGCCTCGCGCATACTCTTTCGAATACTCTGCTCATCAGACTCGGTGTCATAAGGGTATGATTTTCTAGGACCGTAGAACAGGTGAATTCTGTGTACAATCTGGATTACGTTTTCGACCTTCCCAGCTTTGACGTGGAACAGACCGAAAGAAGAGTTCGATTCGTCGCGACATAGATGGCCGACTGACTCGACACGCAAGTGGACAATGTCAAAGGTCGAGCGTCGGGGGGCTCACAGCAACGAAAGGGCAAACGACCAAAACGTCGTTGCGATGACAAAAGACTGAGAAAACCAATTGGCGTTTGAGTTTCCGGGGCACAAGGAAGGCGCCAAGACCCTCTCGAGGATAATGAGTGTAAAGAAGGGGATGGCGTCCAGCTCTGCCACAAAAGCGACTGAGCAATGCCGAAAAACAGCTGAAGGACCACCTGCAGCTCGTGCGGAGTGTGTGTGCTAAAGCTCTTTGCAGTGGAGACGCGTCAACTGGACTTAGCAGTGGCCAAGTGGAAGCAGCAATAGCAGACGTTGCGATGCGAACGGTTGCAACTCAAGCGAGCGGAGATGAAGTTCAACGAGAAAGTCACAAAGCAGCTGCTACTGATGCAGGTGATGGAGCTGCGCGCGAGAATAGTGAACGCGCTGGACGAAACAGGAAAGTCTCCATGGATATAGTGAATGAAAAGTGAGTGAGCGAATTGGCCGCAATAGACAGACGGAAGAAATTGATGCATTTGACGATTGTACTGCGTATCGTCCTTCTGTGGTTGCTCACAATCACATCGCTGCTGCTTCTCACATGCTCTTTGCCATGAACTCAACGTAGCTCTGGCCAAACAACCTCTGCACGTCGCGCTGGATGTCGCGCTTGGATATCTTCCTGGTCGTTGCAAAGAGTTTCTCGTACATGTCCACGACCACTTTGCCGACCACATCGCGCGAGTAGCTCCACTTGTAAATGAGCTGGTCCAGTACACGCGCGTCCGAGTGCTGATTCGTGAACGCCGTGCCCTGGATCGCGATACGCATCCGCGTGAGCTCTTCAATGATCGACGGGTTGTTGCAGTACCACCAGCAGCCATACAGATGCAGGTTCCGGAACTTGCTGGCCGCCACGGTCACTTCGTGCTGGTTCACGCGCGAGAGGAACGTGGCCAGAAACTTTACCTTGGGGAAGTTACGGCACAACTTGATCAAAACGTCCACGTTGCTCGGCTTCACTCCGTCGCCGGCCACACCATAGCGAGCATTGATCGGACGCACGCTGTCAAACTTTAGCGCGATCGGCAGCTTCTTCTCTTCAGCAAGCGGCAGCAGCACTTGCAGTAACAATTCCGCACCATTTGGTAGCTCATTTGTACCAGCAGAAGCAGACGCATTCTCCTCCGGGTACTCGAAGGAAATGGGCAAGCTAGCCATGAAGTACTCGGGCTTTATAATGTCGATCCACTTCTCCAGAAGCAAACGCACACCCGCGAGCGTATGTGGTAGCTTGACCACGTCCAGCGTCGGTCTGATGAACGCCCAATCGCCAAGCAGGACCTGGTCTACACGCAGAGCCGAACGGAAGTACTTGCGCGACCATGCAGGCGGCGACGTGGTTGTGGCTGGATTAACCAGCCAGTGTCGGGCCTCCTCCGGTTCAAACGGGATGTTTGTCATCACCGCGTACTTGAGACCAGCTAGACGGAACACCGTGTCCACGTACTCCTCGACACCCTGATGCTTGAACCATTTCTGGATAGCTGACAGGTCGCGTCTCGCCACAAGGTGGTCCAGACCCAACAAGTGCAGCGTCGTCAGTACTTCACGGCAAGCCTCCAACACAGGAGAGCGGTCCTCGAACAGGTGCTGCCAGACGAGACCAGCTTGCTGCTCCTTTGTGCACAATGAACTTTTCCGCTTGCATGGTTGCCGTTTGTAAAAACTCAGCCACGAGGTAGTGGTAGGTCAACAGCTCATTGATGCCCCACAGCATGAGCTTGCCGTGGCTAGGAGGAAACAGGTGCGTGTGCATGTCAATGATCTGGACGCTGGAAACGGCCTCGCGCACAAATGCCCCACCTCGTCCTTGGAGGTATTCACTAGTGTGGTGGTTGCGAAGCACGTCTTCGAGGGCTTCGAGAGCAGTTTGCTTCCCGCATACGAGACGCTGGTACAAAGCGGCAACATCAGCGGCAAACGAAGCGCATGCGTCGTTCGTGATATCGAAGCCTTTGACTGAGCTGAGGACGCTGGCAACGGCCACACCAACACCGCTAGAAACCTCTGAAGAAGACTCTGCGCGTCCAGACTTGTAAAAGTCATGGCTGAAGCCCTTGCTGGCAACGACAACATGCTGACTAGCTCGCCATAGAGTCTTCGGCGTCGTGCCCTTCTCACCATCCATAAACTTGTACTTGCTTGTGGAGACATTAGCGCTCAACCCGTTCGCGTACACCCATGTCATTTATTTGTGGAGTAAATAGGCCTGCAACTTCGAATCGAGTCCATATTACCTACAAAAATGTCTGGGCCGGTGCCACTCTCCTTTCTCGAGTCCGCCTGCGCTGGAGTCAAGTAGCGAAGAATTATGGCAGTGGCATATGCCATGAATACGCTTGGGCGGTACGTCGGATCCTTCGCTATGTTGGCCTCTACAGAGCTAAACAGTCGTACGCCATACTTCAGCATGGCGTTCTGACCAACCCAGAAAGTATCCAAGCCAAAGTGTCTGTGCTCCACGCGACTCATCCACTCGTCATATGCATGCTGAGCCTTTTCGTTGCTGATGCCGCGCAGCATAAGGGATGGGGCAATGTCCTTGGTGTACAAGAGATCCATGAACTGACGAACCAGCGGGTATTCCAACACGCCGCTCGTGTTCTTCACACGTGTCAAAGCCAGAAGATACACCATCGCCGTATGCACAGCATTTGCAATGCTGAGCTTAATCAAGTGGTCTTGCTCCAACAGACCTGCGGTCGTATGGATGTGCACGCCCGGCAATGCACTTAGTGCCTTGGCATCCAGCACATGCTCAATATCTTTGATTACTAGTGTCTTGGTCGGCCATGGCTCCGACAGAGGCACCAGTGCGTTTCCAGGCTGGTGAGACGTCAAGCGGTCAACCATCGTATTGTGCAAATGCACCTTGGACGGTACGTACGCGCGACACGAAGTGACGTCGCTCGGTTGGCCTTCCCACGTCGTCTCGAGCATCAACTTCTTGATCAGATCTCCATTCTTGGGCAAATTGGCCGTATTGATCACCGAGATGACGTTGTCTACACTGCCATTCCACAAAACACGAGCACCACACGCACACACATTTCATACACGACCGTGAGCTGGACCTGCTTGTCGTTCCTGCTTCGTAAAACAAGTTCAACTGCCTGACTCGGTCGCCTCTCGAAACAGCGATACAGCAGCTCGGTCAGGTCGACAATGGCAGCCCCTCCCTCGACAAGGCCACTCTCGGTCACGCCAAAGCCAATGTACTTGAGCTTCGGTAACTGAGCTGGCAGCTGCATCAACGCCGCGCGGCCGTCTGCGTCTCCCAGCGAACCCACAGCTTCGACCTCAATCTTCTCCGTCTCGACACCGCCATCGGCTCGAACGACGTCCACTTCGTACGTTCCTTGCGCCACCTCACACGCGCGGACAAAGCTGTGTCCGCGTGTCTGGACCACCACAACAGCGCCACCAGCTGCTCGAATCGTTGGCACGAGCACCGACCGCTGCATTGCCCCATTCATCGAAACCGCCATACAAAACACACCGTCAGCTTGCGACGACGGCCTATTTCGCACTGCGCGATGCAATCGAAGTAGTCCACGACGCAATACGCACGAGGAAGCGGCCGCTGCCGATGCAGACGGTGTCGGTCGCGCTCGAGAAACGCGAGTGGCCGCGCAGTGGTTGGAACATCTCGGCCGGAAGACAAGTGGGTGCGTCTGTACCCGTGTCGAGGGGGTACGTTGTCGCCCTGAAGTGGGGTCGAAATGTCGACGGAAGGTAACCAAACCACTGGCGACGAGCGGAGAGGGGTCGGTCAGTATCTCGAGGGTGGCATCCTTGTGTTCGGTTCGGTCGGTGGGACTCACTGGTTTGAAGGACCTTCGGACAGAGTCTGCGGTTGGTGGTGGTAAGACCGAAATGGTGCCGGGCGTGCAGACGTCGCCGCCCAGCAGTAACTAGCACCAGTGCATCACAGAGCTCGCGAGCGTGGCTGTGGACAGCACCGAGACAGAGGGTGTTGAGTTTGTACGACCATCACCTCGTCCTCCCATGTGCCGCCGCCAGAAGAAGGAGCTTCGTATCCCGCGTGCTCTTTTGGGCGGCCAATTCTTGCGTTGTGGAGCTCTACGGTACACTATGGTCGCACTCGACGTTGACAAAGTGAACGTCGTGATCGATTGCAGAACTTCGCCTGCATCCACTCTCGACAAGCCATACGCGCTCCCTGTCATTCTAATGGTTCGGGCCCACATGTGCATTGGCACGCCAAGCTGCGTTGTTAAAGAATGTCTGTATGAGAGAGTGCTATAGAATCCGACATTGGCAGCTGCCCTAAAGCTTAACGGGGATCTGCGTCGGCGGCACTTACCGCGAGAGTGAACTGATGAATGCCTACACATGACAACCGCTTACAACGGATCGCATCAGCGGTATTGAAGCGAGGGCGGGTACCACGCAGAAATGTGTCATCGTCTGGGAGCAGGAGAGTAATGGAAGCAGTGATTACCTCGAGTGACCGACACTGACGATCAGTGGCCAGCGACCGACTCCCAGACGCTTCGACAGCGCCACGAATTGAGCGATGTTGACTTTGACGCAAATTCGCTGGTCCGCGGATTACATGGAGTGTACCCGGCACCGTCGCGAATTCAACGTCTTGTTGGCGATCCAGTGACGACCATTGTATGTTGAACGCTTTCGACCGTGCGCTGCCTTAGGCTCTAACAAAGGCACGATGCAGTGGCGCGATGCAGCGCTTGATGAGCTATCGCGACCCACAGCTGCCAGAAACGATGTGGGCACACGACAACGACCTCAAGAGGACTGGGTCTGATTCATCGATGGTATACCAGTGCAGCGACTGGATCAATCTTTCGACGGAAGAGGACGCGACTGCGGTCGTCGCAAAAAACTTTGCTGCCAACGGGTGAAGGAGACAAATGGAGCATAAGTGCTGGACATGCCCACGCGCGCAGGCCTGTTGGCAGAACCTCTCCGTCTGCCGGATGTACGAGTGGATGCGGGAGTCAGTTAAGCCGCTTGTACGGCTTTGTTGCACATTCAATGCATGCAGATAAGTGCTGGGGCTGTGCAAGAAAGTCAAACAACGTATATTGTGGAAAGTCAGTCACGATGGTGTAGCTCGCGGGTACTTTCAAAAAAACTGAGCGTCACAGGCGCTCTCAACCAACTACACACGCGCATTGTCGGGTGGAGCAGGGATGGTGTCTCGCCAGCGTCAGAAATGGTGCCTCTTCAGCGCCTGCAATGGTGTCAGGATCCGTGCGACCTTGCGTGGCGGACGCTAAAAGCACAAACCACCAAAACAACAGCCACCGTTAGTTGTCAATGCTCAAACAAGAGGTCAACAGCGACACAGATAATGAATCTCTCACCTTATCGAACAAGTTATTGCCAGTAGGCCCGGAAGCTTGTGGACGTACCACCGCTTATTAATCACCTCCTGTTAGCAGGCTTTACCCGAACATTTTAAAATCGTTGCATGATCACCGCCAGTTCAAGCGCATGGTAATTGCCGTTATACGTCGCTAAGTAATTTCTGTAGTTTTCGGCTCCTCTGTAAATTCTTAGAATGTCATCAACGTCGCCACGTCGGGTTTGGGATACAGCATACCTTAGATAATCGTCCGGACTGACTCGATGATCAGCAAGGTGATACACCAGATTGTGCTTCGAATTTTCCAGCACCGCCTTTTTAGCTGCTGAATACCCAGCGTCAAAAAATACAAATCGACCGACCCTATACTTCTTTTCTACCTCGAGGGCCAGCCGCGTTCGAGCATCGGCAGCGTTCTGCGTTGCACTCGATAACGTCCTCGCCAGTAGTGGCTTCGTCATGGACAAAGAGTCGCCCACCGGGGACGTTCGAAGAGAAAACGTTCTATCTTCGCCCTCGGGTTGTGCAGGAAGGGCAAACCCGTCAGCGACCCGAACGTTTCTGAGGATCGATGGAGTATGTGCGTCCGGGTCCATGTCCGACGTCATTTCAGTGGTCGACTTTTCAGCGACTGGAGCCGACAGGACGCTGGCAGATGCGACGAGCGCGAGCGTGAGGACACAGAAGATCTTGACCATTGTGGTGGAAGGAGTGGCACAGTGAAACAGGAACTTTGGCGAGGAGGAGGCGTTGGCGGGATGGTGCTGGCGAAGAGGGTGTGTTGGCGAGGAGGAGGCGTTGGCGGGAAGATGGTGCTGGCGAGGAGGGGGTGTTGGCGATGAGGGAGTGCTGGCGAGTCAAATTTGAAAGTGACGAAAATGTTGCAGTCTCAAATCTGCGGGTGCTGAATGACTGGACGAACGGGTCATCGAGTGCGTTGCGTGTGCTCACGGGCTTGCTGTCGCGAGCGTCTGGCTCTGGTCCCCCAATCTCCAGTATCTCCGCACGATGTGCACAGCTGCAGCCAGCACGCACAGAACTGGATGGGACCCGCATCGTCCATCGCGCGTTCTTATCGTGTCACTACGTGTGCAAATATATTCGAGTTCGGAGTGCTCAAATCTCCTTTTTGATTTTGAGCTCGTCAACCGATCGATCCGGTTGCACGAGTAATTCGTTTCGAAAGACTCAACGTCAGATTGCTGACGCTTCCCATCTGCGCAAAGGAAGCGCCCGTGGGTACAGTGCCGGTACTCCACCAGAATTTGTCTCTTTCGTTGATGTCACATGTTTTCTAAGAGCAGTCCGCAACATGATGATCCTGCTCGCGACATTTGCGTATAAGGTACTTCCCAATTTGCGCCTTCGGGCAACAGAGCCAAGCGACGACGACCTCCAACGAGCCGGTATACCGGTCGTCTTGTCCTGGGCGGGAAGTCCCCCGCTGGGGGCTCAGGTCATGAGGAGGAGGTTTTCCTCCAGCTGCGTGCGCTACGGGGAGGCAGCGTAGCGTGCAAACCAAAAGGAGAGCAACAACCAAGAGACCCCGGGGTGTGGGGCACGGCGACAGCGGTTGTCACCCCCACCTAGATCCTACGATTCAACGTCAGCTTCCAAGTCGCCGGCCCGGTCGCCGAGCGCGAATCTCGGTATCACGGAGCGAACTTGCCTAGAACGTGATTCTGATCGGAACCGTCCAGGTGCATTAGCGGCCTATCGGGGGTGATCAGTTTGGTACCCGGCGTTTTCTGCGATTTTCGCGCCTTGTCTGCGCCCCGGACTGGATACCTGTTTCCACGTGCTCTATGCAGAGTGCTCCCCGTGAAGCCCGACGTCTCGAGCCAGCAGAGTTAGCCAGCGAGGAGGAGAATGATGTAGTCCAGGTAGAAGCACACCGATATCCCATAGGCATAAGCACTTAATCGACGTTCAGGTTCACTCTCACTCGCTCACATTTGCGCAGAAGGCCGTATGCGTACATAAAACTAGCGATTGATATCGTGATATTTGTGGGCGCACAGGTGTGTACGGTCACGTCTTGGTCGCTATATTGTGACCACAAAGCGCAAAGCCATTGGCGAGTGTGCGCTCTGTACAAGGCGTAGTTCTTGGCATTCAGCTTGTTGTTGCATGTCTTGCGTGTGTGTAGAGTATCATTTCTTTCATATGCATGCCGCTCTATCCGTATGTTGATCATGAGAAACAAGAAAGAAGGACGTGAATGATCACTGTTTCACTCAGCGGTAAAGCCCGTTCTCATCCTCATCCTCTCTCTCTTGATCGCTCTCTCGTTTTCACACATCATATTACACTTCCCAATTTGCGCCTTCGGGCAACAACGGCCAAGCGACAACGACCTCCACAGAGCCGGACAACCGGCCCCTTTTTCTGGGTGGGAAGTCCCCTATAATGGGGCCCAGGTTAAAAGGGGGAGGCCTTCTAGCTGCTGCGGGCGCTACGGGAGGCAGCGCAGCGTGCGAACCGCAAGGGGAGCACCAACCCAGCCACCCCGGGGTGAGGGCGCGTCGCCAGCGGTTGTCAACCTCTCACCTAGTTCCTGCTATTCTACATCAGCTTCCAATTCGCCGGCCCGGTCGCCGAGCGCGACTCTCGGTCCCACGAAGCGAACTTGCCTAGAACGTGATTCTGATCGGAACCGTCCAGGAGCACCAGCGGCCTATCGGGGGTGATCGGTTTGGTACCCGACGTTTTCTGCGATTTTCGCGCCCTGTCTGCCCCCAGGACTGGATACCTGTTTCCACGTGCCCTCGGCTGAGTGTCCCCCGTGATGCCCGACGACTCGAGCCAGCAGACTTAGCCAGCGAGGCGGAGATTGATGTAGTCTAGGTAGAGGCACAACGATATCGTATAGTTTTCAAACGCTTAATCGACGTTCAGATTCCACTCCACTCACACATCATATTATATCAATGTTATTGTTGTTCTGGTAGTTGCTTCTGCACGGACGAGATCAGCTGTTGTCTTTCTTTCGTTCGTCTTTCTCTTCAACACAGCGACAACACGAACGAGTTGCGTCGTGACTACACGATAGCACCGTTGTGGCACACCGAGCACGACGCGTTCCCCAGCCGCGAGCTGTAATCACTATGAGAGGTGCGTGCGTAGCCAGCGCTCGATGTTGTTCTCTGGACGGAATGACTGATATCAAAACACGAGGTACACCGTCCTTTCTGGAAGCTCTAGTGATACCATTGCGCAAGAAGGGACATTCAGCGGATGCGCTAGATTACCGCCCCATCTCGTTGCTCCAGACCAGCTAAAATTTTCGCAA